ATCCATGAGTGTACCGTGTCGCGCCAAGCAAGGATGCGTGCTGAGCGATTAGAGCAGATTCTCAGGGAAAGGGAGCCCCCGTGCACCCAGGCTCAGAGATATCAATGGCCTACCAAGCTCTTAACGCGCCCACAGTCCCAAGCCGCCGAAGTGAAGATGGTGAAGTTGCAAGAACGGCCGAAACCAGTGGATATGACGCTCAAGATCATCGGGAATTCAGCGGTCGTCATGAACACGGTCGCGAGAGGCCCCGAGGAGTCTGAGACCCGTCCTGAGCCGGTAGAACAAGCCCATCCAAACCTGAGTTCGGACGTTGAGACTCAGGACCCAGAGAGTATGGCGGTTGTCGAGAGTAATGGTCAGGCCCCTGAACCATCAGGGGGTGTCCAGTCACAGACGAGCTGCTCGACACCGGTTCAAAGGCTGGAAGCAGAATATGCTCGGGTAATGCGAGTCTCTGCCGAAGAACTGGACCTGGAACCTGCCGTATATCTCAGGGAAGGAAGTGATTTGATGGCGCCGTTAAGAGACCAACTCATCATGCTCCCAGAAATCGAGGAACTGACTCCAGAATGCAACATCGACGAAGCTAATGTCGGGGTCCCAGGGGTCACAACTCCAGGGATGGAAGCCAAGATGAGAGGGATCCTGAAACACCACCGCAGCATCTTCCTGGGAGACGGCAATGCAGCTCCAGCCCCGGCTAGGGGCGTAGTGTGTGATATCGACGTTGGTGGAGCAAAACCAGTGGCTTTACGTGCGAGGCAGATTGCCGCGCCGTTCTTAGTGAAAGTGTTTGAACTCTTGAAGAAGTTGCTGGAGGCTGAGCTCATTGAGCATTCAGAGTCAGAGAGGTCATCTCCTATTGTAATTGTGCTGAAGAAAAACGGCATAGACATCCGAATGTGTATTGCCTACCGACTGCTATATCTGCTCATAAAGCTATCTCGCTACCCCCTACCTTTGATCGATGACCTGTTGGTAGACTTCAGATCTGCGATGTGGTTTATGAGTCTCGACATGGCGAGCGGATTCTGGGCGGTGCGAATGACCGAACGTGCGAATCTGATCTCTGCATTTGTTTGCCCGTTTGGCCATTTTCAGTGGCTCAGAATGCCCTTTGGATTGAATAATGCGCCGTTAATTTATCAGAGCATCATCAATAACTGTCTGTGGGGATTCGTCCGTCTGCCTCCTGAAGAGGAAGCGCTGGTTGACCAAGAAGTTCTGGAGTTTTTGAATCTTGAGCCGCTGAAACCGGAGGTAGATATGCGGGATTCAGAGATCACGGCATTTGACATGACTGTATTTCGACGCAATATCCCGGCTCCGTCACAAATGGGCCCGGTCTTGGGAAGAAGCTCGTACATTGACGGTATCGCTCATGGGGCGTCGACCTGGGACCAATTATGTGAGGACCTGGACGCGTTGTTGTATAGACTATGATACTGGAATATCTCTATGAGCTTACCGAAAAGTGAATTCGGGAAGTTGACCATCACATTCCTCTCTCATGAAGTGAGTGCAGACGGAATCAGGGCCTTGCCGAAGATTATCAAAGGCATAGAGGATCTACCGTTCCCGTCGACGTACAAGGGTGTGCGGTCCTTCTTACGAAGTCTGAACTATTACAAAAAGTTTATTGAAGACTTACCAGTAGTTGCCGCTGTGCTCTACGAACTAGACGAAGAACGTGTACGTGCTGGACGGAACTGGAAGCCGCAAAGGAGTCTTTCGAGATACTGAAACGTAATACCGTCTCGACCCCACTATTGCGACATCCAGACAGAACCAAGCCTTTCGTGATAATTCCGCATGCCAACCCGTGGGCGGCGTGTGCCGTTCTGGGTCAGGAGCATGAAGGGCTCATACACCCCGTGCGATTTACTGGC